AAAAGAAGAAATCTGAAGGAGCTGTGAGACTACGACACAAACTACAGTCACTCCGACGCGTCAGCTGTTTTACACTCATGCACTTCTCGGTAATCAGAGGATTTATTGCTGGACCTCAGGTAGTGAAAACACACCTCTGACCTCTGTGTGGAAGATAAAGACAACTCTACTGAGTCATTTAAAGAAAGCACATAATTAAAAACTGCCCTTTCCAGTTCTGAGAACGCTTTCCTGCCCATGTCCACTGAGAAAAGGAAGGTTTATATATCAGAGCATTGAGAATAATGCAGATGTGTTAACGCCGCAGAGCTGCACTCTACGATTCCTCTTCCTTAGACAGCGTCTGAGGAGGAAAAACACAACGGACTTCTTAGAAACAGGACAAATACTTTGAATTAAAAGTCTATTTATTGTGTGTTTTATTTAAAACTCACCTGTTTGAGGAACTGTCGTCCAAAATAATTGGTAGCCATGTTCTTTAAGCTGGTCTTCCCTCCCACTTTGCACCTCACGTATCCGTACAGGTTGGCGCCTTGCAGCACGACGCCCATGATCACGACGGGCTGTGAGGAAGACGACAGTTTCATCACATTTCATATTTCCCTTGTTATCAATAAATCCCACGAAAAGGCTGAAGGTGAACCACGTGTGTCCTCTTCACCGTGAGAACATGCTGAATACACAATAAAGAGATGCACTGATCTTTTTAAGGGAGTAACTCGCAGTCACAGGGAGTTTATGATTGCAGTTGTTGTCGGGGCCAACAGCTGGAACCATCAGAGTGTCTTTTTCTATGATGATTCCTTGCAAAGATTTTGATCTTAGTTTTAATTTTTTAAAAGTTATGACTTCTAACCTTAACTGGGACCTTACTGCATCAGGTCATGTGAACCTCAAACGAGCAGGGAAAACACTGGGTGCATGTCTGACACATCACCTCATAACGGTTCAAATCACACTGTGAGCATTTCAGACATGGAGCATTCAGGCTGAAGGAGTCCACTGTGTTCCTGTGTCTGACTTCCAAACAACAATCTCGAGGGATAAAACCTGTAGTTTAAAAGTGGCGTTTCTCTTGGGGCCACTTGGAGGTGTCTCCCAAAGTGAGTCCGTCCACACAGACTCATCTTAAACTCCACAGAGAACTTTTTTTCCCTCTACGGACCGTTTCTTCTTTCTTAGGTGGTTTTAGGTAACGTAGCTGCTAGCCATCTGCTAGCCAAAACAAAAACATTGAGGCTTCAAACTGTGAAGCCCAAAACCACAGGACGGCTACGCCCATCTTTCATATACAGTCTATATGCAAATAAAAGTCCCACAAATGAGCCAACGAGTCTCATCGTCTGTGAGCTGCAAACTGAGAGTGAGAAGTGATTCTTTTTATAACAAATTTCCACAAACCAATTAAGTTACCTTAAAACTTAGAGATATTACTCAGAATGCGTCCCCCCTCGTGCAGCAGGAAAACTTTGAAAGCAAGCTTGAGATGCAGGGTGAGAGCAGGGAAACACTGGCTCATGTTTACCAAGTAATTATTGTCTAATTTTACTTAAGAAAGCACCAAGAACTAATAGGGTTCAGTGGGCTTAGTGGGTTTTATTTTCTCAGTGCTGTGAGAAAAATAAAGGTGTAACTGAGTTTTAATGGGATTTGTTGATAATAAGAAAAACAGCATTTGTCCGATCACTAAAATCTAACAACTTACCATCCATTTAATCCTGAATGAAAACAGGGTGCTAAAGACAAAGATGACCCAGAGGACGGGGCAAACAATCAGTCCGAGCCAGAATATTCTGGACTCTGAATCTGATGCTTGCTGCTTCCCTGTACCCTGAAGAAGGAGGAAACAGGATATCTCTGTTAGACATCTGCGAACACGATGAGGCCTGTTGACAGTAAACATCTGGACGGAGCAACAGGTCAGGGTCATGTTTAGCTAAAGCCCCGTGTCAGAGCCGGAGCAGACTCAGCAGAGATGCATCTCACCTTCCTCGACTCAAACACCCAGTGGCTTCGTCCATCGTCATCCACCTGATTCCACCACCGCAGACCAACCATCAACCTCCCAGTGATGTTCTGCAGATGGAGAGATTTATGGCTTTGTTACGGAGATTCTGGCAAATCTTATTCACAAGGTGCTCGATCTGAATACTGTTTGCTAGGTTTAATTATTTACACAAGTCTTTGTGTAACAGTGTGACTCTGGAAACTGAGTCCAGTTGCACATCTGACTTACAGAGGAAAACCGGAGCTATTATCCAAGGAATTCTACGGCAGATTTAAGCAAGCCTAACAAAAAAAAAAAGGCACTCGATGAGCCAATCGATCGCCCGAACAGAAAAAACATCAACCTGGCCGCCACACGTTCGCACTAAAGGGTCACAACAGCTTCAGCTGTGTGGTAAAAATCACCACATACTTGATGCTGCAGAAAAGATCTTTCATCAGATCGAGCTCCTGATTTTCTACGTGCACTTTTTCTATTCCAGTAAAAGTTTAAATGCTGCTTTCAACTGGCCCTTTGCTCCACGGCGTCACCACAGCACATAGCGCCGCACAGTTGATTGGGCAGTTTCCCACCAGATGATTTCCATTTAACCCCAAAAAGGATTTGCGTCTCCAGCTGGAATCGTACCAGCAACCTGCCAAGCAAGTGTGCTAACCTCTGTACCAGTGATCACTGAAATTAATCCCATAGCTCTTCAGTCGTTCATTTCTGTTGGTAAGGGATTCAGATTCATTCCAAGGAGGCAGTTTTGTTGTGAGATTTGCTTTTAGAAAGACTAGTTTATGTGGACTTCACTACCGTGAGGCTATTTAAACCGATTCAACGTGAACATCATCAGCACACAAGAACCAGTGAATGACAAACGTCCAGAAAGCAGAGGTCTTTAAATCTCACTGCAGGTAGTGAAGCTACAGTGATCAAATGTCAGACTGGCCTGTAAACTCTGCCTCAACTCATCATGATTATGACGGGATGCCTGCAGTACCGGCTGTAGAGTATCAGGTCTCCAAGTAGGGCTGCACGATTAATCGTTAGAAAACCGCGATCTCATTTCCAAATGACAACGATTTAAAAAAAATCTTTTTAAGAAGACGACGACAATTGTACCGCATTTTGATCCGGGACGTAATCTGCATGAAAACAAGCGCTCACTCTTCCTGCTTAACAAATGACGAGGGCGGAGCCTTACACCACGTGATACAGAAGCTGGCTGCTAAAATTAGCAGGAAAGAAACAACGGCGAGCACGTCAGGGATGACGAGAAAGTGACAGGAGAAAATCCGTCCCGGTCAACCACCCAAACATCAATAACAGGAACCTTATACAGCGCTTCCCTATACCCGTCGAACTCCCGCAGGCACAAAGAAATTACGGAGGCTATCACTTATCACCTGACCAAAGATATGGCTCCATCAACACTGTGCAAAACGAGGGATTTAGGAAAATGATCAACACCCTAGACAAACGCTACACAGTGCCGTCCCGCAACTATTTTTCTATTGTTGCACTACCTGCTCTATACACGCAGTGTCGAGCAACGGTGGAGACGGAATTTCAAGCAGTACAACATTTTGCAGCAACGACAAAACGTGAGATATTTGTTGTTTTTATGTTTATTTATTGTTTTTATGTTCAGTCTCAACTGTTACGAAGTTGATGTGCAGTTAATAAGTGCAAGAAATATTTACACTGGAAAAGAAAATCGTGAGAGAATCGTGATTCTCATTTTATGCAAAATCGTGCAGCCCTATCTCCAAGGCTCCGAACTGTCTGTCAAAAAACACGATGGTTGAATCTATGACCAAAACCTTCACCGTGTTTTTCTCACGACTGCTCATCATCTCATTCGAGCACCAACAATTCATTCAAAACTAATAATCAAAAACCAAAAAGTGAGAACAGTTGGCAAACTTTTAGGACAATTTCCAATCTTGCTTTTAAGCTCCTGATAAAACTTTTATCTCATCTGCTCCACTCTTCTTCTGAGTTCTGCCTTTAAGAAATGCACAACAAAAAGCAAAAAAGCCCCACCGAGATCATTAATTATAATCAATTCAACAACTCCTTCCATCACTACAGTGCAGATATGAAAGTGATAAGAGAAACACCTTTACTGTCCAGAAGTCACATGAGAGCAGAAGGATTATTGTGACCATGCAGGCGATGAAGCTCCCGCCGATGAACTCAGCGAGCAGGTACACGATGATGGCAACGACTCTGAAGAAGAGGTGGAAGAAGGCCGCTACCGGATGCCTGGTGACACATTTTTAACTAATTTAATATGACATAGAATATCCACACAGATCAATAACCAATATTGTGTCATATTAATAACAATTATAATCATTATTAATAAGAACAAATAATAATAACAACATTTAAAAAATCTTCTTGTTTTTTTGCTCAGTGTAAAACTTAAACTTGGGTCTCTGACAACAGCAAAAGTCATTGTAAAATATTGTGTCTAATATTGTCTCTAGCCCACATCAGATGATAGTGATAACGTAGCAGACAGATCAGTGAAGTCCTTGTAAAAGTGTGAAAACATATCAAACAAACCCCACAAACCATTATTATCTTGATATCAAGTAGTGACTTGCACAACAAACAGCAAAACCTTTTCCTTCTCTGCAGAGAAAATGTTAAATCCTTCAGCGATCTGCAAACTTACTTAACGCCTGACTTCTTCGACCTTTTCCCTGCGTCATCCTCGGCATCGAACAGAGACACGTCTTCATCGTTGGTGTCCTGAGGGATCAATAAGGAAGAGGCTTAAACCTCAACATAAAACAATGTGGAAAAAAAGCCTCGTCTCTCTGTGGTCAGGGATCGTCAGAGGAGTAAGACTGATAACAGTCTGTTTGAAACAGAAATCTGGAGGTTTTGTAATACTAATACACAATTCTGTAACAGGTTGTTTCTGAGCTTTTAAGTCCTCACTGTACAACTTCATATGCCTACAAAGACACTCCTGTTGTGAGGTAATAATTTTTTTATTCCTATATTATCAAGAGATTCAGTTTACTAACTTAAATGGCAAAATAAATCTTCAAATGCTGACACTTAACAAGTTAGAACCAACAAGAGTACCAAGAAAATAAGCAAACAGTTG